AACACCAAAAAAAAACAAATGGACTATAGACATTCAATGGACAACACCAAAAGGAACCCCAAAGATGGACAATAGACACTCAATGGACAACAGATCAACACCAAAAGGAACGCCCAACAGAATGACAATAGACACTCAATGGACAATAGATCAACACCAAAAGGAACCCCAACAGATGGACAAAAGACACTCAATGGACAACAGATCAACACCAAAAGGAATCCCTATAGATGGACAAAAAAAACCCAATGGACAACAGATCAACACCACAAAACAGAATTAAAACTAAAAAAAAAGGATGCAAACGAAAAAAACTTAGAAACCCAATAAAATCAGAAACAAAAGTTATTTCAGGCTTTACTTGATTGGCATGCAGCAGCAGTGTGTATTTTCTACAGATTTCATTTTCAATTTGTATCAATTTACAGATCAAATTATTCCCTGAAAAAGATAAAAACTGTCTATTTTCTGAATGTTTTGTTATTTAATTCACAGTTTTTCCCTGAACAACTGAACAGCAGACAAAAACAATAATCTCTGAAATTGAGAAGTTTAATCTTTGCACAGAGTGTTAGATGCAATAATAATTTGCCTACATTATCGGTATAATAAAGCATGCAACTTCGCACTTTTTTGCAGTTGAACCAGACTCTACACATTAAAGCCTCGGTCTCACTTACTCCCGGCAGAGCCCAGGACCATCCCGGTAAGTTACCGGGATGATCCGGAACGATCTGGGATGAAATTATTGTTGCGGTCACACTTACCCCGGCAGCACTACGGTAGTTCCCTACTTACCACCCAGGATGCGCTCCGGATCATCCAGGCAGAGCCCAGGTAAAGCTACGGTTCATGCCGGTGCTTTCCCGGTCGTTCCCGGATGACGCCGGAAGAGCCCCGGTTGACCCAGGCAAATCCTTATGCCATACTGGATAGAAGGGAAATGGGAAGGCTTTTAATACAAACAAGTTCAATGATAGCAAATTGTCCTTATTCTTTTGAAATGATCCGGGCTTTGCCAGGGCTCTACCGGGATCAACCGTAGCTCTACCTTTATCCTCCGGGGCTCTGCCTGTAGTTACCGGGGCTCTGCCGGCATATACCGGGGCTCTACCATAGCTCTACCGTAGCTCTACCGGCTTTATCATACCCAGGATCATCCCCGGTTTGTGCAGGCAGAGCTACGGTGTTTTCCCGGTATAACCCCAGTCGTTCCCGGCAGAGCTAAGGATGAAGCCGGCAAAGCTATACCTTCCCGGATCATCCCGGACCACCCCGGTGATATTAGATATTTTATTCCATCCGGGGTCGAATGCCGGATGTTCCCGGATCATCCCGGATCATCCAGGACGTTGCCGGCAGAGTAACGGATGTACCCCAGTTGTTTCCCGGTCGTACCCCGGTCGTTCCCGGATCACCCCGGACGTCTACCGGGGCTCTGCCGGGATGTAAGTGAGACTGTAGCTTAAGCTGCTGGATTTTGCATAATATTATAAAAATGCCTTAAATTAACAACTGATACATGTAGTTAAGTGAGTAAATTTCACATAGTTCAGTTTGTTTGTCTGGTTTTTAAGCCAATAATAACACTTTGAGTCATATCTTAGTTAAGCTGGTCAACCTAACTGTCTTTCCTGGTAAACCAACTGTCTGTCCAAACTTAATTTTCATGCAGAAATTTCAATTCAACCGAGGATCTAACCAGTGACCCCCAAATTACAAATCTGATGTTTGGTCACCAGTGTATAGTTTTATAACTGTGACAACAGAGTAGAATATGAAAAAAATATCACAGTAAAGAGATTTAAAAAAAAAATATGTGAATAAAAAAAAGATCTGTGAAGAAAATAAATTGCTTTAACATTTTCCCTGTTAATTTCACAAGCAATCTGTTGTCGATGTCCCAAGGACACAAACGTAGTATGTAAATCACCATCTATATTAAACACTTTTATAACATGATCTTGATTTATGCGGTAGGCAGAGAACCATTCATATATGTTTAAATGAACCATTTTGCCATCATTGTTATGTTTATTTTGAGTGACAAAAGCCCGACAGGTCATCAGATTTTATATAGGAGCTAGGACATCAACTTCTATTATCAATATGTAAAATAGTGTTTGTATACTATAGAAGTAGGCACTTTATTATAGTATTTTGTGGCAAAACAGAATGTAAGGAGTTGGCTGTTTATCTTAACAATCAATTTTATCTTGATAAACCTAACTACCTGTCAACATTAGTCGTGAAAAAAAAAGAAACGTTTTCTTAAATGTTCTCTTAAATTTTTTTTCACAAAAATATTACAATAATTATGAAGTAGAATTTCTATAAAATTTACAATGAAGAGGCAAACAAAATATCTTGAATTTTCCCCAAAAGATAATATTTCAAAGAGTTTTTTTATATAATTTAAATTGTATAAGAACAGCAAAGGAAATACATAACAATAAATCATAGAGAAATGATGGAAAGGAAGCCATAATGAAAATGTTCAAATATAAGACTTGAAAAAACAACAACACTATATTCATGTACATCTACACAAACAAAGAACAAAAGCAGTTAAACTTGCTTTCAAAAGGCTGTTCTTAAGAAAATGGAAAAAAAGTGTTTAAGACTGTTCTCACAAAAATGAAAACAAAATTAACATTTTTGAAAGAAAAAAAAACAAACAAAAACATGCTTAAGAAAGTGTGGTCTAACTGACACATGTTTTTTTTGTTTAGTTTTTTTAAATAAGTTTTTTTTTGCAACAACAGCAATAAAAATCTGTTGAAATGCTGGCCATTTACAATTTTTCTACGGAACATAGTGTTTTTTTTAAGGTGGCCTTTCAAACAGGGTTGAACTTCAGTAAATATAAATAATAGAACAATGCATATTAAAGTAAAGAAAATATGCATATCATACTGCCATTACTTCTGCATTTCTTTGACTTTTAATACTAGTATGATATTAAACTTTTGACATATGTTCCTTAAATGACATTATTTCAGTAAGTTTTAATACTTAAATACTCATCTGGATGCTTAATATAATGATGCTTTGAGGACACTCTAAAAATGGCAACCTATTTGATTTTAATTCTCTCTAAAACTTCTATAGCAGAAGAACAGACAATCGTAACTTATAGAATATTTTATTACTTTATCATATCAAATGATTCTTGATTATTTTCCAAGTTTCCCTATTTTAAAACCTGTAATCAAAATTAAAATCAAATAACCCTCTTGGATTTTTATTACGATTAAAGAATACTCACCCTTATGCTAACTGCCAAATTTTCTTTCATATTCTTCACAGTAAACGCCCTTTTTTTGTTTTATAGTATACTCGTAAAAATGATAAAAGTTAAAATAGGATGAAAAACTCCTAAAATCAACCCTTGGCAAGGGAGATTTCAATAAAAAAAGTCATTATTTATCGGACAAGAATCAAGCCTGTAAGATTTATTCCCCTTGCATGTTTAAATTTTCTTGTAAATTATTTTTAGTAAGGTATTGCATTGCATGTTAACCTAAATTGAAAAGATAAGAATTTTTGTTTTTCATGTCATGCAATCTGTTTTCAGCTATCATTTTTTCATTTATTCAGAACAGATGCAATTTGATATTATCAATATATTAACTTGAGATAATAATGTTGCTTTCATCAAAATGATAACAAAACACAGAGTTTTTATCTTAAGTTAGACTTACTTTTTTTTTTTTATATTTTATTTTAAAAAACACTTTAAAATTAAGAGTATTTTCCTAAAATGAGAAAAGTTACCAACTGGAATGCTTTGTGAGTGGCCTAATTGATTAACTATTCTTTTTAACTTCCATTCAAGAACATAAACTTTCCTCAAGTTATATTAACTAGAAAAATTAAATTTTTAAACTACATTTTTTTATTGAACAATGTTGATAATGTTGATTTCTACAATTGATAAACATGGCCTTCCAGTAATAATTGAGCAATGTCACGACAAAAACCAACAGAGTGCGTTTGCGACCAGTCTGATCAGGATCCATGCTGTTAGCTATCAGTTTCTCTACTTGTAATAGGGTTTGTAAGCGAACAGCATGGATCCTGATCAGACTGCACGGATGCATGGACACATGCTGGTCGCAAACGCATTACGTTGGTTTTGTCATGACGCGGCTCATTTGTTCATTGAATTATGCTCCTGTTATAGACAAAACCAACATAATGTGTTTGCGACCAGCATGGATCCAGACCAGCCTGCCCATCCGCGCAGTCTGATCAGGATCCATGCTGTTCACTTACAGACCCTATAACAAGTAAAGATACTGATAGTGAACAGCATGGATCCTGATCAGACTGCGCGGATGCGCAGGCTGGTCTGGATCCATGCTGGTCGTAAACGCACTATGTTGCTTTTGTCGTGGCGCGGCTCAATTATTCTATTACATAAAATACAGTGTAACCCCTGCAAAGCAACCCACTCTTGGAGACATTTAAGATGTTGGCTCATGCAAACAGGTGTTGCTATATAAACAAATTTATGTGTGAAATCTTTAAAGGGAATTGGTAGAAAATGGAAGGATTGTAATTCCACAAATAATTATGTCAATAGTATTTAGTATCATATGTAATATTAAACCCCTGAAAAAAAATATATGAAGGTTGTTGGTGTGTGTGATATACATGATCTTATAGGATGTATTTTTATATAGAGGATAATAAATTGTTCTAGAACAAAGTATTATTATTCATCATATAAATGTCAATACTAAACCACTTAGAACTTTATCAACCTTTTTTTCAAGAAATACTTTACAAGAATATCCAAATTATACATTCTTTTTATCAATATTTGAAATACACATGGAAAATATCCCCAATGCAGACCAATTCACTTTAATTTAGGGAAGAATTGACTGTTATAGAGAGGTTTTTGCTCTACAGTCTCAGTGCCCCTCTGCAATAAATACTGTACTGCTTAATGCAGCATTAAAGATTTTAGTTGATTTTACACTCCTACATACCTGTGTATCAAGCTCTTCATCTGAAAGAAGGTCCAAAGATCTTCCTGGTATATCAATGGGTGGGGAGGGTGGTGGCCGTACATCCTCGCCCTGATCACCTGTCCTCAGTGATAGAGCTTTGAACACTGGTATTCCTGACCTCTGTCTCTTCTCCATCACATCATTCAAGGTAGCCTGTGAATGAAAATACACACACTGATCACTTAAGTCCAAAAACAAAAAAAATGAATAAAATAGCCTCTCTTTAAAACAAAGAAAACAATCTGCATGGAGTGCACTACATTCAAGGATATTAAATATCATAACATAATGTAATAATATGAAGTTAGTTAAAGGTATAAAAGATAAATTATTCATGGCTCCAAAGCACATGCAGTGTTATATATAGTAAGCAAAAATCGCAAAAATATTACTAAAAGTATACACACAATTTACTTGTTTGTGGTGTAAATATTGTATATTATCACAACTTCTCCAATCTTGAAATTAACTTCGTTTCTTACAAAACTCTTTTGGTACTAAATGCATTGTCGACGGCAGACTACCACGTGACACACTTTCCCGCCATGTATCAAGAACGCACAATTATTCGAAAGGGTGTAATTAAACGAAATGACCTAACTGTCACTAATAAAGTGCACTATTACCCTACAGATCGTAAGGGTAAGTGAAAATTATAAAACTATAGGAAAATAATATTACAAATTAAAGAAGGATGGAAGAAACGATTTATCTACAAATTTAGACGCTCTTTACGGCGAATTAGCTAGAATCCCGATGAGCATTCGTAGGCAATTAATAATGGTAAAATATTGGATAAAATTATTGACATGTAAAAAAGAATCTCTATAACATGCTTAAAGTCGATGTTGAAGAAAATAACACATATAATAAATGTAATTGGGCTTATCAAATTAAAATTATACTTGATAAATGCAGACTTTCGTATATTTGGCAAAACCAATATAGCATTATTGAACGACGCATATTAGATATTTATTATCAAAGTTGGTATTGTTCTATCAATAATTCTAGTCGTCTAGATACATACAGTTCTATAAAATATAAATTTGAATTTGAAAGTTATCTTGATTATATTAAGGACAAAAGATTTCGAGTTGCGCTTACAAAATTTCGCACATCATCTCACGACTTGTTTATTGAAAAGGGAAGATATACAAACGTACCTAGACTGGAAAGAATGTGCAATAATTGTTCTTCGAGACAAATTGAAAACGAATTTCACTTTTTGTTTACATGCTCACAATATGCTGACCTTCGCAAAAAATATCTCAGACGCCACTGTTATACATGGCCTACATTGCAGAAATTTACTAATATATTATTGTCTGAATCTAAAATAATTGTAAGAGATCTTTCTAAATATTTATATTATGCAAATTTGATTAGAAAATAGTTTTACAGAACCTCAAACACGTCACAATTATGAATTCATATGTTTTACATTGTATTTTTGTGCTCCTTGAAAAATCCATGTCTTCTGCCTATAGTTATGTTGTATGTGCTATAAACATATATGCAATAAAATTATTTGAGTTTGAGTTTGAGATTATAACTAAATTAGGTGTGTCTCATGTCATGCCCCTACAATTATAGATATTTAAATCCAGAGTCTGTAAAAACCCATCTCATTGACTTGCAGCAATTTCAACATATCGACCCAAAATATTAGTTTTATTTCTTATAAACAAAATGATCAAACATTTACAATAAATCAGATTTTCTCAAATCCAAAACGAGACATTGTATGCTCATTTGATGAATTATGTTTTGTAATTTATTGCATGTTCTTTATGATTCGACTTCCTTTAAGCATTTGCTGACATTGCCGTATTTTAAGTCTCGCAGTGAGCGGTAAGTCACATCAAACGATCCACACCGTAATTTCGAATCAATATCCCGAATTAACTGTCATTTAGTCTTTTAATCTTCGGACAATCAATTTACCCAGCTTTGTAATACGTGGCGTTTTAAGCGTAAAGAATTGAAAAATGTATGACATTTTAACATGAAATTACTACAGACTATAGCTTTGAGTGAGGAGGATAATATTTGACAAGAAATCAATTTATGAATTACTTTACTTTCTTTCTCTCTTTTTTTAAAAAATAAAGATAGATAAGGTATACGATATAAGTTGTAAAATTGTAAAATAGGTTTATTATTTAGAAATACACTTTTAAGGCTGCTTTAGATCTGCATTTTGAAAACAAAGCGTTCAGATGTAATGTGGACAATATCAGATAGCGAAGAGTGATTCGCGTTTATTATACGTTACAAATAAAAAAATACAGTTTTAATTATTATTCTATCAGATAATATTTAGTTATAGTTATATTTCCTATCATTGAACATACCTATGTGTATACATAATTATGTATTCCTATTGCTTCTCGTCTGTAAAATATATCGTTACAGGAGGTATGTAGACACAATTATTTTCATTAGGAAGAAATTACCCTCTAATTACATTCCCCCACCTTCTCGTTTGTATCGTTCACGCCTCGTCATTATTTTGATTCCCATAATAACCCTCATAAACATTGTTTTCAAGAACGATGTATCTTTTTTACTGATAATTCAGATTGAGCACGACTTTCACGAACATCTTCTGATAATACTAATCAAGTATGCCGGAAACTTGTTCTTACGTAAGACAGGTGTTAATCGAATTAAAAAAAAATTTGTAGACACTATTGAAGACTGACTATTTTCATTCACAGAAGTTTTGTATCTAATACTTTCTTCTCAAATCTACAAAGTAGGTAGATACAAAAATACTTTAATCTGAGGATTTGTTACGTCTTTATAAATAAATACAACTTTCTACGAATGCCTACATTTCATATGGGATATGACAAACTTTTATTATCTTTGATATACAATCACATTTCATTACTCAGTAATTACAAGACAAACCAAATAAAACTGAATGTTGTCTAAAACACTATATTTATCATAAATAATTAAGAACTTATCATTATAAATAGACCCAAATTTGAGCTTTAAATGTTCCATTTCTATCAAAATCACGGTTCTTTCACACATATTTACTGCGAATCTCCATATTTTTGGGGGAACGGGGTGGTAGATATCGAAAAACATTGGGCAAATAGGAAAAATGTTGCAATTTTGTTTAAATGAGAAATGAAGCACACAGTTTGAGAAAGGAAAATGATGTAAATATTGGTAACAATGGGAAGATACTAGCTTTTTAAAAGCTAGGAAGATAGCGAAAAAATCGTATTGAAAAGGAAACGACAGTGCAAAATCTTGGGAATAGGCAAATAAAGAAAGATAAATAACAGCGTTATTGCATCTGCTGGAGAATTAGCGATAGCAGATGACGATGATGCACCCCGTCTTTCTATTAAATCGTCCTTTGAAGTGATTATTTAGTACAATATTGTTTGCTATATCATGGGTCGTTAGTGTAATAGTAATTCTCTATTTCATATTCTCGATATGATATCATTGCAATACACAATGTATATTGTAGAATCGTTAACTGATTTTACCCTTTGATGTTAAAACTTTGTCTGTAAAGTAGCTCTCTTTAAATGTTTGGCTGGTATAGCTTTTATAGACTCATCTAATGTATAAGTGGGCACTCGAAGGAAGATTTATGTTGGAACAGACGCTGCATTAAACAAATAACATTTATGATCAAATTGATTATAACATAGAATCACAAGCATATGTTAAGTGCCTTCATTATTACCAAAAAAAACAAACCCTAAGAGCTAAAAAAAAGCGTAGAGACGCTAAGAAAGAGTATGGTTATATAGTACTAAAGCGTTTTCTTAATTGTTTTATGTCCACACAAGCTGTATCTGTTAGGTTTCAGATTGGCTGATGATTGGCTGATTTGATACATGTAGTTTAATTAAGAAAATTGCAGATCCTGCACTGTTCAATTTTGTTAATACTTTTCGAGTAATTTCGTTTTCATTTACGATATTTTAAAACTACAATATCAATTGTTCTTGGCCTTAATAACATCTTCAATTTTAAGTAGGACAACATGATATCAAGCAGATATAGTACTTATTTCCATTGTTTTTTTCTTTTGTGATATTCCGTGCACAATTTGACCTCTAAAAAAAGAATGAATTTCTTTTGAACGTGCCCATTTATTATCCAAGGAAGAAAATGACAACCTACGCAAATATATACCAACTAATGGAGTCAAATCCGAGAAAAAAATGCGAACTGGAGCGAGGTGTTTGTCAGACTTCCATTTACAAAACAGCATGGGAAGTGGAAGACTTCAAGTCCATTATTACTTCATCTATTGTGACATTTCTAGAATAGAATACGCAAATCAATACAGAACAAATATATAAATGACCACTTTCACGGCAATTTTATCGGGTCACTTAATTTATCTCCTTGTAATATATGTATAGTATTGTTGAGATTATAATTATAGTAAAACACATATATATACGAATACACACAATTGGCTTGTCACTTTATCTGTTTTCGTCTGCTGATATCGTGAGGAAAAGCGGACGTGAAATAAAAGTGAATTTTGTCTGACGTTCAGACAGTTCTTAATTGTATGTTCTCGACAACTGGCACTCAACGTGTCTCTTACTTGGTATTAAAAATACAACAGCAACAGTAACAACAGTAACAACAACAGGATCAAAGATAGCGATGACTGAATTAATGAATACAATTACAAGTCAGTATCCCTTGCATACACAATTTTATACAGAAGCAAAGCAAACCTACTGAGATTCATAATATAAGCGGATTAAAAAAACAAACAAAAAACATATATTTTCTGATGAAATTTTACACGATGTAAAATAGACCCCGTTACATTGTTCAAATGTGTTGGGCAACGTAGACCAATATTCAATAAGTGTAAAAAGTATGTCACCAAAACCTTATAGCAGTTAAACAGTTCACGTTTTATAGCAATATTTATTTATTTATTTATTTATTTTACTGAGCTCCCCTCATCGGATTAAACAAGATTGAATTACGAAAACAGACACGCTCCTTTATAAAGCGAGCAAACATTTGAAGAGAATCTTCAAAAGGTCAACTTGAAGAAAACTATAATCGTTTCCCAATAAAAGAAACCAACATTAAAACAACTTAGGGAAATAATCGGAAACGACATATCTTGAGCATGTGGTATTTTTTTATTTGTAAAAAATTCCCGAAATCGAGAACGTTCATGCATTATAAATAAACTTTATGGTTGGAAATAGTTCAGAAACCATCTTCTTCTTTGAAACCGAATCCTCTATTTTTCAGAACAGACATGTAATAATTCCTTAGAGAGAAATTCTACGTCATGTAAGTTTTAACAAAACATGCGGAGAACTTCAGACGTTTAAATTGCACCTTTGAGAAATAAAATGACTCTCTTGTTTTTTTTCTTTTAGATATATTTTTAAAAAATAAACATTTAAAGGATAGTTGTTGTTTTTGCAATATATATATATTAACTTATGAATGCTAAACAAAAAATTTTCTTCGTGTATTTGGCAAATATAAAATATAAACAACGTGAGTGCTTTTTAATTAGTTGCATTTTTTTCTTTTGGACAATTAAATCAGAGATGTAGATATCTATGTCTCTGATTTAATGTATAACATTCTTGAGTTAATTTCAAGAAGTTAGAAAAAGTGATATTTTCATAACTTAGAGCAAAACTTAAAAAGTCATTATAATTAAATTGAAACGTGCGCGTTTTTAAATTTAACACCATGCCTACCTTTAAACAAGAATTCCAAGTATAAATCCCATAGATAAGAATTTATATTTTTAAAATCAATTTGTAAATATCACGTTGAATAAAATTCCAGTGCAGTTGTAGTTTATTTCCAATAAAACTATAAAACATCGTGAATTTGTTGCAAATAAAGATAGAAATTTTGGCAAAAGAGATGCCACATTTACATCTTAAAACACAGCAACATTGTTATTTCACTTCGTCTGAAGTTAAAACGATTAAATCCATCTAAATTAGACTTTTAGAACGCACACTAACGTCTGTGTATCTAATACAAGTTGATATGTACCAACGTAAATTTCATCTCACAAAATTTCCAGAAAACGAATACTAAAACTAGTACATTTTTCTTTTCAAACGTTTACGTTTAATAATTAGAAAAGAAAATAAGAAGTTTTCCAGAGCATGTAGAACTACCGGATGCTTTGAAAAACTACTGATTTTTCAGTGAATAATCTCACAAACATTTTTTAGAAGTTTGAGCTTTATCTTTAAAGCTTTATGCTTAAGAGTAATTAAAATCCTTAAGTTTAAATTGAAGAAATAACACATGTACACTTAAAACTTAACACACAGTGCAATCCGATTTGTCAAAAATTCCTTGTTTCATCATATACTTTCATATATAAAGCAGAAATAATAAAACGATACACAATGAAGATATATCTAAAACGATATATTTCACGGTCCTCAATCCCTCCAAACTGACAGGGATGTTCCCCGTGCAACATCTGTTTTCGCCGTTAATCCAAAGCTCTCGAGATTTCGTCTGCTGATCTGTTACATCCTCCTGTAAGACACGGCCACAGGTAAGGCTAGTTATCATACACGGTAAGATCATCACTTTCTTGCTATTTTTTTTCTTCAACAAATAAGACTTCCGAAGATTTCCCGTGCGCATGAAAGCACGCAAAATAAAATGCTCTTCAACTAAAGATGATTTCCCAAACGTTCAGCTGTTTTTACAATGATAATGAATTACTGCTATTTGAACTAAGAGTTAACGTGCAAATATTCGAAGGAGCAGAAGATAAAAAAATAGAGATTATATTCTTTATTGTACATTGCTCCTTTTCAGATTTTCTCGCTAAATTATAATAAGGCGAAATGGCAAAATGTTTCGTAATATTTTGTGTTTCAGCTTAAACGTTACTAATGGATTTCTTGTTATGCTGCTGGTACTACTATATTTGCGAAAATGAAGTTATTTAGTGCTTTGTTGTCTTTTTGTCAGCAGACGACATTTAATCAGCGTCTCTCAGACGTATGAAATTGAGCGTATTTGAGGAAAACTCAATTGTACGAAAATATCATTACGACATTGAGAGAGGGCAGACTCTCAATTACATTATTTGATAATACGGGTGACATAGGATAGATACTTTATTAGCATGCAATAATATGTCATTATGACAATTAATTGGAGTGAAATCATGCCTTTTTTAAAAATTTAACCCTTTTAAGAGCAGGATTGCTACATGATATCTTTTGCACTTTCTGAAATTCAAAAGAGCATACTAATCAACAAAGTGAAATAATTTGTGGAACAACGTTAACTTTTATAACATTAGGCACTGTTTCAAATAACATAGGCTTTATGTATAGTCTTTGATATATAATCAATATGTCTGCGTGTAGAAAACAAGGTATCATTTCTAATTTAAATAATTGTGTGTAGTCTTTTGTATTTTCATGGGCTTATTGTGTGAATGTTTATATAATCGAACCAAAAGAACCTGATTCTTCAGTCTATATCAGGAGAACAGATGTTTTGGTCGGTGGCGGGAAGTATTTACATAATACGTACTCGATGCCTTAATGATTGAAGGCAAATAAAAAAGTTATTTTACAAAGGAAAGAAAATTGAAAAAAGCAACACACACATAACACCACAAATTAAATTTGCGGTTGTACTTATACAGGAGAAAGATATTTAAATGCGTACAAACGGTATATAAATAACTGTTTTGAAATCAATGACCGTCATTCTAAATTATTAAAAAACTTCTTTTCTAGACACGTCAATGAATTAAACTTGATGATTATAAATGAATAAGTAACGGACATACTTTCATCCTAAATGCACTATTGACATAAAAAACCAAACTGAATGAGTTGAATGTTGCCAATTTCTTCGTTAAATTCAGCGGGAGTGTTTGTGCATGTTATATTTTTGTACATGTATTATCTATTGCGCATTGAAGTATCAAAACATCATATAGTCTTTTATTCAGATGATTTAAACAGGTTTAAATCATTGACTCCACGTGATAAACATTAAATGTCAAGAAAGCAAGTGCAAAAGGACACAAATTGATAAAAAATGTGGCTGTAAAGATTTAAGATAAACGTTGAGAAAACGGAATGAATTCTACACAGAATATATGAAGAATCAAAGGCAAAAGAAGCAAAGAATACTGCCCAACAATCACAATTGTAGCAATTTTCTAATTTTTCTAACTTAACAAGTAGAATACACCGTCTCTAGAATTAGTCTTTGCTTTAAATGGTGGTTCTTTTAAAAAAAAACTGAGATGAGAGTGATCCCTCCGAGAAGCATTAATCACAACAAAATTACATGAGCATTGCAGACTCGATTTGATTGAGTCTGTTCATGAGGGATAATGAAATATTCACGCCCCACCCCCTACACCGGTTTAAGCGGTACTCAATTTTCAACACTTAAAAGTGCTGGAATAAATTATCCCGAAGGACCAGAGAAATATAACAACACAATTTTTGAACAGTTGCATTACAAATGTGACACTGATTATTTAGACGACTTTTAATCAAAAGGTGGATTCTGTAAATGCAACGAATGTTGCAAGTAATGTAGCTTTGATATACAATATATTTAAAATAAATCTAAAAATACTGAAATCAAAATCACATTTTAATCAAATGTTTCATTTTTTTAGTTTGATTAATGAAAAATGATGAAAAACTTTTAAAATTTTGAAAGGTTTGTAAATAATATCTTGCAATTAACAAAAAGCAATGCATCTGTTTATTTTCAAGAATAAAATGTCAAAGTAATTAAACACCAAAACCATTAGTGTTTTATAGCAAGTCAATCAGCTTTGATACAAAAGAATGTGTATTAATTTTCTTTTATAGTATCATTCGCAGCACATGTTTGAAAACTTCATTAAAGCAAATACTGACATTACTACCTCATGGGAGTCGACCTTGCATTTCGCTGACGCTGCCATTTTCTAATAACTGTACAATAAAACAAAATGATACACTATGCAATGAAAGAGACATTTGTTCTGAAAGTTGGAACTCCAACAAAGCTTACACGGTAAAGCATTAGACGAATTATTGTTAACACCTTTACAAACAAATGTCATACCATGCGTTGAGAGATGGTAAAAATCTCTGCACCTATACAATGCCTCTGCTAATTGTGATTAATCTAGTTAAGCATTGGAAAAGACAAATTCTGAAGATATCCTTCATTCTCATGACAAAACTTCCTTCAAGTGTATCTATCATGATTAAATACACTGTATGTAGTATTTTTGTATTGTATTTTCTTTTCTTTGATGAAGCTGTCTTTGGTTTACTTCAGAAAAGATAAGAACTTTCTTTTTTTTTCATATTTTGATATTGAAATTCCTTAAACTTAGAATAGATTTTTTTTAAAATTTAAAGGACAAAGTCATTATACGAATCCACGGAAGGGTTAGATTTGCTAGATTATTCCTCTTTTATCTACTCGCACTGAGTGAGAAACATAGAGAGACATTAAGATGATTGTTATGGTATTGTCTGCATGTTTCACTTTATCATTTATTCTGAGGCGATTGTAATCTTGTGCCTTCCAGTACATTGTCTGTGTAGCGTCATTGCACTTGTGTCATTAGGTAAGCTTTCAAGTGAATTATTTAATACGAGTATACCGGATAATGTAGGACAGATATTCTGCAAAGAGGTGAGAGGAGATGTCTTATTGAGTGTACAACAGTACTGTGACTTGATTTGAAGGAAGTGTTATATTACATCATTTTTCATCAGTATCCTTTTGAAAATACTCATCGATTAAGTGGTTTATGTGTCGGAAGAAGACGAATACTTAACTTCAAATTTGATTTAAAATGTCAATGTTGAACAAAACATCATTTGGAAACAATTCTAACTGCTCATCAGTGTTGTAACTAGATTAAAGTGTATCAGTTCTTATTGAGAAATAAGTATGTGTTGTCCTTTATGGTTTGGGCATTAAGGTCCCTTTTCGCTGACATTGCAGCAACAACAAACTGGTAATCAGATAAAGTAGCTATAATGTCATCAAAACCTGAGATGATATCTTCTTTGAGAGAAACTTGATGAAATCTTGTCTTTTGTTGTTTGAAATATAGAAAAATTAAAAATCATGCATAAGAAGTTACTGTACTGAAAAAATCTTTGTACATGTATAAACATTTTTGAAACAAGCGAATGGAGGGGGAGCAGTAGTGCTAGAGGTAATATCATTTAAGAATTCTTCAAAGCGGAACTTGTATCTTTGAGAACTCGAACCCAACCTCCCGAGATTATATACCTTATAGACCTAATAAATGAGGAAATAAGATGGTGAAGCAATCTAAGAATATAAGCTTCACGATAATTAAGACAATATACCCTGCTATCTTTACATACAATGATATGAGTAAATTATCTGAACACATTCAACGAGAGCATGCTGCCATGTTATCTCCGAAATAATTGTATGTGTAATTATTCTGGACATAGGTACTGACTTCGATGAAGTGTACCACACAGATATTTAGTATGCCATGAAATTCACAGGAAATGAAAATGTCAAGATGTCAAGAAAAAATGTTCTTTTGTCAGTGTTTAGATTTATTCTTTACTATGGCATATAAAGTGTTGTCTTTGCAGGCGTAAGCACCTAACTAAACAGAATAGCGAATTTGATATGTTTATAAATATATAAGTTGTTAAATATATATTTACGTAAATTTTTATCTGTAAGAAGGAAAATCCTATAAATATTGCAATGTTTAATGCCATGTTCATATAATTAAAATAGTACAAAAAGAAACTTATACAAACATATTCAGAATCTTCACATATTACACGTATTACTCGTACAATGTTCATTTGACACATTAAAAGCATAAAATAATTATGAATAATTTTATTTATTTTGTGTAATCTTTTCTTTTCTCCTACCATTAGACATTTTTAGCATACTCAAATAATAACAAAAGAACAAGTACACATGGTTCTAGAGGTTCGTACTGTCCCAACTATATCCATTGTTTCTTCAAAGGTATTGTGTATCAAATTAAACATAAACTAAAGAAGCGCTCTAATCAGTCATATGGCATGCATTCGGTCGACATTGTCAAGCCCATTTATAATGCATACATGTATCAATGTTGCCAGAAAATTGTATCATTTTACAGTACAAGAGAAACTGAGCTGTGTATTTGGCAATTTCGGCCATTCCACCAAGAGGAATATTAATAGGAAGTTTATGAAAATTTAAAATATATGTTCAATCAAACATTTCATTCCTCTAGTCAAATGATAACAACAGCTTGTAAATGATGTATGGTATTTTTAATGGCTTTGAAATTATATCCTGTCTTTCACCAGCGCAAAAACAATGCATTATGATCTAGAAAATAATGCATATGTAATACAATACAAAAACCATTAGAATTGTATGGTAAGTGATCCTTTTTGATACAAGAGTAACCATTATCAGTCCCTTGATTGAGTTTTAATTTGCGCAACTCATTTTATTCGGCAATTTTATCGAGAATTGAGCGCTGGCAAAATTACCTTGCAGAGATAATGATAACATTTTGCTGACATAGCCACTTCTAACATGTGTATTCACTAT